TTTTTTCTTATTTTAAAGTCAAATAAGTGGATTTTAGAGTTTTCACCTGATTTGTTGAACTGTGACAAAATGTCTAAAAAATAATAAATGAAAAGGTTCTTGATAGAAAGTAAGGCAAATAAATGACTGCTAAATATGTTTTTTTTAATTTTCCATCTTTATCCATTAAGTTATGCATTCTACATAAAATATGATTTAGAAAAGACTTGTATTTTCATAAGAATATTTTGTTATATAACATTCAGTTAATAAAAATTGACAGAACTTGGACCAAGWTTTGAATTTTGGACCCCTTGTGCAAAAGAGTTTGACCAGCCCTGCTTTAAAACAAAAGTGATGTATTTGTACACAGGACATGACAGAATACCAAAGTCATATTTTACATGGGAGATCTAACAAGTTACTTTAGGTMATTTTGTTTTCTATATCCACTAATTTAGAAGTGAGCAGCAACCTCATTCACGTCCCTTCACTGGTTCATCATGGGGTTGAGGGGAGCCCCCTGCTGCTGTCTGTGGAGACCCTCTTTTCGCTCGACGAAGCCGAGATCCAGGGAACTTGGTCTCACACTGAACTGAGCGGAACCCGGACCACGCTGGTCACCTTCACCAACGACCACGAGATCATCGACATGATGTACCGCAACCACCTCCTCTTCAAACAAAGCAACCTTTCTCTGCTGCTCTTGAAATTAAACCAGACCAGYGAGGGGGAGTACCACCTGAGCCTCAACATAAAGTTTCACAACAGCAAAGGAGGGGTCATCAAGGAGGAGAGGAYTATACGTGTAACGGTTGATGGTGAGCTACTTGCTTATGCATCTGATAAATCACACAATGAGTTTTATTTGCTCAATTTACATGCTTCTTGTCTTCTTCCCTATAGTCCCTATCTCCAGTGCACTAATTGAGAAGATCCCATCTTACCCGGTCGTAGAAGACAAAGCAAACGTAACTTGGACTTGTTCTGTGGAGAAAGGAACAAGAGTTGGGTACCAGTGGCTAAGGGATAATAATGTACTGCCTCCCAATGAGAGATACCACTTCAGTCAAGATAACTCTACATTGCTGATCAGCCCTGTGACCAAAAAGGACAAAGGATCATACCGCTGTGTGGCCAGAAACTCAGTGAGCCAGGCCCAGTACAGCAGGGTGGTGGAGCTCAGTGTTTACTGTAAGTACATGTTTGTCTTTACCAAGAAATCCCAAGAAAATCAGTCTATTTTTGAGTCAAAGTAGTAGCTTTCATTATTAACATGATCATTAGGGAAAACAGGGTTAATCCACAGAGATMGTCTATTCTCTATTATTATTAGATGTTTTTAATTCTATGGTTTAATTCCATTTTGTCAGCAGAATCCAATTTTTTTGTCCTTAAACARTGACAAAGAGAGAAATTCTAGCTCTAGGGCTTTGGTTTTAGCATATACCTTATAAAAGAAGGTCAGGGAAGAAAATCCTAAATTAGACATCCTTTTAGTGACTATAATAGTTTCTATCCATTCAATAATGGACTTGTTTTTGTATGCTGATAYAGCTTAAACAACAAAACATAATGTTTGGGAAAATATTAGCATGATCACATAGTTCCTGTTCCACCCAGTATCCACACAGACTACTCGTTAGAGTTTTTTCCCCCGATTGGCACATTTCCCTGAAAGTATTTGATCATATGTAAATGTTTATGACAGCAGCCTTCTTGCTTACAATATGAGGCTGTTATGGAAAAACATTTGCATGGCAGCAGACTTATCTCAGGATTTCTCCGTACTACCGTAACGGGTGGGACTTTGCTGTCGAACCTGTACTGGTTTTGTGAGTTTTGAGTTACCTTGAAGCATTCAGTGACTCCTTCTTCTTTTTTTAATGTGCTTTAATTTCTGCAAAACAGATTATTTTGATCTGATGTGCAGAGTTAAGCATCACTTTGGTTTCCCTTTTTGGTCCACAGCTTTTTATTAAGCTGATTGTTCACATCCACAAAGGCAGATATGTTCCGATACCAGTTTTCTTCAAACCGAGTATGAGTACAAACTGAGTTAGAACTTATATGCCTGTGACATAATTTTTTGTAATAAATATAAACACATTTTTGAAAAGATAACACTGATTGATTGTAACAAAATTTTCATGCCGCTGAGATGAACAGTTGTTGAGATATTCACACGTGAAGTAACAGGAAGTGATGTCAAAGGGGAATACCTGTATGTGAACAGAGTATTGCTACAATAACAGACTGTAGAGACAAATCTGATGTTTTATGAGTCACTGTCAAAGAGATGAAGAAGAGTCAGAGTTCATATTATATTATTTTAATAAAAAAGGTATTTTTTAAGAGTTCCCGTTTGATGTCACTTCCTGTTTCATTTTTGCTGAAACAAGATCAAAAGAAAACATGCCAGTTATGTAACAAAATGGATAAAACCATATGCATTACATGAGTTTCTTAGATGTAAAGTTGTTTTTTTTTTTGTATTTGAAGGATATTAACATCACAGGCACTTTAAACATTACATGATGACTTTAAGAACGTTTCCTTTATTTTAGAACAAGGTGGCTCTCCATCCTCATAAGCCTACAGCCCCTCTGACTGGATGGATCCAATGTACAGCATGATGCTATATGTTTTTTTTAAATAAATAAAAATAACAAATATTTGGTGGCTGTGGGGTAGTGGTTAGGTTAGTCATCTTGTAACAGTTCAGTTGCTGGGTCAATACCCCATTCCATCCTTCTCAGTTTCCTTGGGCAAGACACTCCACCCACCTTGCCTACTGGTGGTGGTCAGAGTCTTCTGACATCTGTCAGCGTGCCCCAAAGCAGCTGTGGCTACATTGTATCCTACCACTGTGCGTCTTTGAGTATCCTAAAAAGCACTTTCTAATTTTGATGTATTGAACAAGATTTTCTTTCAACTTGTATACATTTCTTAAACATGGAACTGACTTGAAATGTAAACTGTAACACATTCAACAGAGTTTCGATACCGGTATCCCAGTATCGATGCTGGTATTGGTTCTGGTGGCATTTTGTACGATTGTGAGTACTTGTAGAAATGCTGATATCGAGTCTGATACAGTAACAGTATTGGTATTTAGATACTACAATATAATGACTTTCAACATGTTTTTTTCAGATATACCAAAAGCAAAGACAGAAGGTCATGATTCAAGAAAAAAAAATAGTTATATGCACAATACTGGGGTGTACACTTACTGCATAAAGCAGCAGACATGTCATATGCATATTTACTGTATGTTGTACTTTCATGCTAAGGGTGTCAGTTTGCATTGTGCTTGTACTTTGGTCAAGTTTCTTGTGCATAAACATGTCATTCCTAMTGATACAGTATACTCGAAACCTGAACTGTATGATGAAACCGATACTCTTCTTTTTTTGTCTGATTTCAAKATTGAATCTATTAATAGTCAKTTACAAGCAGATCTTCAGACATTTCATGGTTGGCTTCAAGATAATCTTTTGTCAGTTAATGTTTAAAAAACTATGTGCATTTTTCCTCACCCAGGAGACATTTCAATATAACAAATCAACTCACTTTTAAAAAAGTTTTGTTTAAAAACAAACCCTGGATATTTTCACTACCTACAAATATCTTGGAATTGCTTTGGATTCTCATTTGACTTATCGTGATCATGTACAAGTCTTWACCACTAAGTTGAAACAGAAATTATACATTTATTCAAAAATTTGATCCAATCTGACATCTTCTGTTTCAAATATCTATCTTCATGCCATTATACTCTCAACCATGTCGTACTGTTTACCTGTTTGGTCTCTAACAACAAATTAAATCTTAGAACCCATAGTTAGGCTCTACAACAGGGCCTACAAAATTCATAAAAAACTTCCTGGTTGGACTCATCACTGTACAGTTCTTTCATTGTCTGATGCCTTGACTTTTCAGAATTATGTTTTGTATAGTGGTATTAATTTATATTTTCAGATCTTCCAAGGTGCCAGTTATGGAACTCTCTGTGCATTGCTGCCCAAATCAAATTCTGGAAGTCGTCATTCAACTAGATCTGTTACAAAAGGACAACTGATATTACCAACTTTTAAAAACTGTTACGGCCAGAGGTCTTTCTTCTATGTTTATACTAAAGCATGGAATGACATTCCTCAAAACATGAAGTCCATTTCAAAACTACAGCCCTTTAAGAAGAATCTTGTCTGCCTTCTGCTGGACACTTTTTGTTGTGCTCATGTTTAGATGTCTTATTTTGCAAATGCTGCCTTCCTGAAATTTGGTATGCTTGTTTGTCTTTGTGTCTATGGTGTATAATGATGTGATTGTGATGCTGTATTTCTGAGTGTTTTATGTGCTGCAGAACAGGAACCTGCTGTAAAACAGCAATTATGCTGAGTCAGGCTTGATTTTTAATAATCTTTTCCTGTTAATAAACAAATCAAATCAAATCAAATCAAACCTGAGCAGGAACATGCATGTTTCCCCTGCAGGCAAAAGATGTCGATGTGCATGTCTGCAACTCTACAGTTGTATGCAACATTTTTGTCATAAAACTGGTTGCTAGACCAGGATTTTGTAGATATTTTTTGTTTCCTTTTGAAAAAAAAAAATTCAACAAAATCATGGTCAGCCACATTATCAGCACAAGGTAGCTTCACTACCTCAGCGGATTCTGATGTTATCGGTCCATTAAAATTGACGTTCTTGGCGGTTATCAGTCCCATAGAATGGATTCAGTCCATCCCGACAGTGCCCCCTAGTGGGTTAATATGTCAATGACATTGAATGTGTAAATAACCAAAACATTTTTTGATGAGCTTTTTGTCCAGGGTGGGGTTCTTGCTGCCCATGCCTGGTCTTGATCCTGGTTCTCCTGCTCTCTGGTCCAGCACTCTACCCATGACCATTTTCTCTAAAATTAACCTTACTGACTTTATGCCTCATATTAAGCAGATTGCATAAAAACCTAGTTTTATGCCTCTTGCATAAAAAACCTTAGTGGCTTTATGCCTCATCATAACCAGCCGGTTCTGATGTTGTCAGTCCATTCTATGGGACGGAGAACACATAGGAGCCACAGTCGGGACATTCTGAAGCCATTCCATGGGCCTGCTAACGATTAATAACATCCATTTCATGGGTGATAACATCCAAAGCGGGTGTAGCCTACCTAAGGAAAATGGTGCCTATCTTTGTGATATGATCTTAGTAGGTCTGAGTCTGATCTTCTAAGATCAGCTCAACTTCGGAAACCAATGCTTTAGTGTAAAAGACAACATGCAATAATGTCATTGGCAAACAAAATCCCAATGAATATGCATAAAATGTGAGATAATCAACATTACGTCTTTCTGACCCACCCGCAGATGGCCCCTACAATCTGGAGGTGAACACGGACCAGGGTCTTCGGACAGGGAAGGTGTTCACCATCAACCCCGGCGAGCTGGTCTTCCTTGAGTGCCAGGCTGACTCCAACCCGCCAAACAGCTGCGTCTGGATCTACAAGAACCACAAYGACACGGAGGTGGTCACCGAGGGAACACGGCTGGAGGTGCAGCTTTACAGGCTGGCACAGTCCGAAGACTACCTGTGCCGGGCTTTCAACAACGTGACGCAGAAACAGGACGAGACCCAGTTCACTCTGGTGGCAGCCAACATTGGAACAGGTGGGTAGAGGGTGGAAAATGGYACCGGGAGCAGAGCGTGGGCAGGTTTTTGGTAATCCTCTGTGATAAACATGRTAAACAACACACCGTGCCAACAGCAGAACTGCTAGGCTTTAAGAGAAGAGGAGGCGATTCTTACAGGGACGAGGCTCGTCTGAGTTCTAAGAACAGTTCTGTTGAAAAAATACTTCATCTGGAACATTATTCTAAACAAGCACTTTATGACTATAACATAAAATCTACGCACCTATCTCGGTTGTTAGGTTTCAGAGCCCTGCAGTCTGTTTTAGAGTTCAGTGGCTGGGAAAGCAAACAGTGGATGACAGCTGTTGTGTTTATTGACTAAGTTTTATAGCATGTGGAGTTTCTGTGTGCTGAATGCAACGTTAATATGTTGTCCTGGTGATACTGAGATGACACACTGATTATTACAGCAGATACCAGCAATGATTCAAAACTCAACCGTGGTTCAGGTCAGACTTCAGTTCCTGTTTTATTTTCCTGCTTTTTTGTAGGTTTAATTTTCAGTGAAGTGTTGCACTTTGAAATTTATTCTATTGTAGTTTTGTTAGAATTAAGATTTATATCTTATTGTGAAGTGGAGCTTCCCCATTGGTTAAAACAATATAAGGTGGAGCTATTCAACTAAATTGTTCAGGGGGYTGCAGTTACTCAAAGCTCGGGCCAGACATCCAGGGCTTGAGGTGTGCAGGGGGTGTGGCCTGATAATGGTTAAGGAAAACTGCATTATGTAAAAGAACAAGTATCATCTTTTAAATTTGTTTATTTTGCCACATTTAATTATTCATTTATTTTTTTCAAATCTAGTATTATATTTAATGAAGTGATCATTTATTATTTTTTAAACTCATTTGCGGGCTGGACTGAAGTTACCTACAGGCCGGATGAGGCCCACAGGCCACCAGTTGAATAGCCATAATGAGGCTTCTCTCAGTTTGAAGAAAAGCTTTGGTCACCAAAGACAGAAAGGCTTATTGATATAATTGATACAAATAAAAGTGACAACAGAGCCAAATGATATGTAGTAGGTTAACCAAAAAAAAAACAGTTAAGAAAGAAATGAAGCTATAAAGCTAAAGCTAGCAAGCAATAAGTTGCTGCAAACTTTTATTGATGCACTTGGACCATGCAGGGGCCCTAGGCAAATAGGATATGGTCTGTTTTAGTTCTGTGAGCCTCTCTTGGCTCCTGGTGGACCTCATATTTAGTTTGGGAGGGGGGCTCTTGATGGGGATTCCAATAACAGTTTTGTTTCACTTTCCCTTATTGACCACCATGGAGTTTAAATGGATGCTCACAGCTTATCTTTGCATTTAAAACAAACAGTTGTTTTCTGCAGGCTCCAGGTCAGCTTTGGGCTTYAGGCATTTATTTTAAATATTTATTAACCAGGCAAATCCCATTGAGATCAGAGATCTCTTGCAAGGGAGGCCTGGATGTGAAGGCGACCTATTCTACACGTTTTTGCCTGGTTTGCCTGCCCTGTTGCAAAGGACCTGACTTGGACGCATAATCTGTGTTAGAACCTGGTGTCATTGAGGGTTTGGGGTCTTTCAACACCAACCTCCCTCTCCCAGGTGACCTGACAGGAAGTAATCAATTCCCAGCTTGTGTCCAAGAAGCATTAACCCACTGCCTGTCCTTTATGATACAAAACCATCTTGAATAGAACTTCTGACCCACATAAATCTGTCTGGCTCAGTTCTGGCCCTTTGGTGGCCCAGGTGTGGTTTGCCAGGAGTGGCCCATGGTTGGGCCAACATCAAATAAACCAAAACATAACCAGGCCAGCCATGACATAGATGTAAATGGGGCACCTAAAACAAACCACAACTGGGCCAGTTGTGGCATGCCATCTTAAAAACGGTGCCATCATTGCCAGACCTGGCCCACATCTGGTCTAACCACTTGTCATGCCAGGAGTCATCCAGCAGTGCCACCTTGACATCAGATCTGGCCCACACCTGTCTGCTATATGGGGAGGCTCTGTTGATGTTTTTCTTTTACCTGCTCCTGTAATTCCCAGGAGGATGCATAGTATACTTCCCACCAAGCCCTTATTTCCCACTTCGAGTATTTGCCCTATTCAAGGCTAAAAGCTTATGCRAGAGTGAAAGATTGATTCATTAGGACCATATCTATTCAAATTTTCATGGAAATCCGGCAAACCTGATAACTACTTCAGTATTTTAGTTGCGACCAAAATGGTGAACCAACTGTTCTGCGAAGATCCACTTTGCCTAACATTTGTTTTCCCGTCATCTATTGTTGTTTTCTGACAGGAAAAGAAAAGCACACCCAGAATGGTGGCTCTATGTCTGTGCTGGCGGTCATTCTTGTCTCCACTTCGTTTCTCTTCGGCTGTATGCTGCTGGTCTTCCTGAGGAGAACATGTCATCCTAAGCGAGGTTAGATACTGGCACGTGACTATAAAAACTACAAAATAAGTATTTATTCCTGACATACTGCTTTCTGTATTAAGTTCTCACATGATGAAATCAGAAATGTAAATAACTTGCAAATTTTAGTCAAAGTGAAGGTAACCTGGGCAAAGTAACGTCTCTATTTGAATCGGGCAAAGTGTTTAATAATATGCCAGTTGGAGATTGATGAATAATTATATTTTTCTCTTGCTCTTGGATCAACAGTGCTCATGAACATTTACAACAGGTAAGTGTGTTTAGCTCAGAAAAGTATGTTTTTGAACCTTAGAAACAATTGCTAAATTACCTTTTTTTGCAGACCATTTTCAGAGAAGAAACAACCACATCGTTCAGGTAAAACACTGGGAGGTTTTGACATGCCTACAATACAACAATAGAAAATAATCCTGTATTTAAAGTGCATGTGACATCATTTTTTTTGTAATTAATATGAATGCATATTTGAAAAGATAAAATTAATCAAAAATTGGGAACAAAAATCACATTGCTAAGATGAAATGTTGTTGAGATTTTTGCATTTGAAGTAACAGGAAGTGATGTCAAAGGGGATTGATTGCTTGTAAACAAAGAGCTGCTACAATGGCTGACAACACAGTAGAGAAGAATCTGGTGTTTCTTTAAATTATTTTGAGTCACTATCAGAGAGGTGAAGAAGWGTCACAGTTCAAACAATATTGTTTCAATAAACAAAGACAAGGGAGCTGCTTTTCTTCAAGAGTTCCCCTTTGATGTCACTTCCTGTTTCACTTTGGTTGAGTCAAACTCAAAAAAAATGCCAGTTATATGACAAAATGGGTAAATCACGAGATTTATGCTGAGTTTCTTWACTATAAAGAGGTTTTCTTCGACATTTTGGATTTGAATTTTACATGGCACAGGCACTTTAAAGAAAACAATAGTCAAAATTTAGAGGCTCTACTTTTAATTTAGATTTTAAGTCAAGTCACAATAATTAATTTCCATTAAAAAGCCAGTCAAGCTGCTATGGGGTCATGATATTACAGTAATATTGTTCAGGCTCAAATGAGACACTGCTGTAGTCTGACAATTAAAAAAATGTCCACCAACAGGCCATGAAGATGCAAAAGAAGACTTTGGCATCTATGAGTTTGTTTCTATACCTGGGAAAACAGAATCTACACAGGTATTTATTTTCAGAACAGAACCTTTGAAACCCATTTAAATACAGTTTTTCTTTAACTTTCCAACATGTTTCCCCCCAGGCGTCGTGCAGGTCTCTTGCTCGACTCGAGTCGATTCAAGATATGCACACCACCATCTACGATGTGATCCGACACGTCCCTGAATCCCCCAGTCAGAGTTTGCTGAAGTAGCTTCTGTGATGGAAAACGTGTAACTCTGTCTTTGCACTTGAAATTTTTTTGTAATTATTTTTTGTGTAGCTTTAAGTCTCTCAAGCCCTTTGCCTGAAGCTGTGGGTGTTGTGGCCCAATAGCTTTTTTTTTTTTTTTGCACATGGGATGAAAAAACACAAAACCTGAATGTGCACTGTTACCATTGAGAGTCTGGGACAGAGAGTTGTTGCCTTCTAATTTTGAAATAAAAAATGTGAAACATGCTTGAAATTGGAACATTTGTTTTTCCATTCAAGACTGAAAATCCTTATATTATTTTAGATGATATATGTTATGATGAATGCATTTACTTACTTGTGTATATATATACAAAATCAGTTATATTGTAAATATTGTACATGGATTATCCTGATGAAATTTTATACAAATTAATCTTTTTCTCTGTTTTGTTTTAAACTGTTAATTCCTTTATGAACTTCAAACTGGCTGTAGGAAAAAAATCTGTTGATCTATYTCCTAAATATTATTCCTGTAATTATGACTACAGAAAAGAGAACCCAAGGTTCTGCTTTCTTGGTAGAAATTTCTTCATGCTTCATGCAAATTCATTTATCTGGGAGCACATTTAAGGTTAAATGTTCTTGTTTTGGTCAATGGTAAGATTTGGACAACAAAACTAAGCATGATGGGGAGAAAACAGTTTAGWTCACAATAAGGAAATTTATCAGCAGATTTTTTTTCTTTGTCTCTATTTCTTACTTGACCGTTTTTTTCCTGCTCACGCATTTAAACATGATCAGAAATTGTTGTACAGTTTGAATTCTTGTGTGTTTAATTTGTACTTTATCAAAGATAAATATGTTTACTGTGATTCATTTGAAAATTTGCCTGTTGCTTTCTRTCAAACACAGAAAAAGTGATTTAATCTGCAATTTTGTCTTTTTTTACTTAGTCTATCTTTTTTGAAAGAGGCTTGAAATGGTCACTTTTTTCTTTCACTCATCTTGAAGATAAAAAATAAATAAATAAACTGAAGACAGCAAAGCTGACAGGTATTTTGTTGATTCATCGTCGGTGTTGATCAGATGTCTTGGCTCTGATTTCCCTTTCTGACAAAAATCTGCGTTCATTTCTCCCAAATTGCAGCGGAGGTGCTTGTTTTTTTTTCCCTTCAGCATTTGGTGTGCTGGTATACCGTGTACCTGGCACAATCAGAKCCTGGCAGCAACAGACGGACGGTTCTGGATGTGCAGAGTGCCCTCCACCTGCTCCCACTGACACCTTGTCATGAGAAAATGAGAACGTGTGTGCTTGTGTGTGTATGTGCACATGAAAAGGGTTTTAGAAAGAAAGCACAGATTTCAGTTTAATTTCATATTACAAAAYGGCTGAGGTMTTTTGTGTGCTCATAATCCAAACAAGATTTAGCACAAAAATGTCAATGCATATCAATACATAATATGGTAAGCCTCCCTTCTACATAACGAGGAGTCTATAGCTCTAATTATAGCTGACTGTGATGTGTCTTTGTGGTGGCATCTCCGGGTACAAAAGGCCATCTGTTTCATCTCGGTGCATACTTAAAGGGAGGCTCCTCACAGTGGATGACTGCCTACCAAAAACAACAGTGGAGTAAAGTCACCTAAGGAGAGCAGCCTCACCTTCATTTGACTGGGAAATAGCCAAAGGCACCACTAACCAGGAACTAGATGTGAGCCTGTGCTGCCTGTAAATGCTGCTCACCTGAGGGGATGAAAGCTGGCACAATGACTCTGTGTGCATTGTTTTTGGAACGGTTTTGGAACACCTTACAATACAGAGCCATGCTGTTCTAATAGCTTGGCAGAAATGACAGTATGACACTGAGTCATGGAAGGTAACATGATGTAATCACTCATACGTGCGCCTTAAATATGGAAAACTAACCTGTACAGTTATAATAAAACTCAATTATTTAATTTATCCAGTGTACTTGATTACATAAATTAGTCTAACATACAAAGTAGCCTATGGCATGGAAATACATCGGTACAGAATAAATAACAAATCCTTTCCTTTTTCATTTTTCTTTACTTTATCMCATTATAAAGGCATGRATATAAACTTAGACAGTTGMTTTTAACTGAATCACTTGCAAAAAGAAATGGAGCTACAAAATATTATTTTGTCATTGATGCTTATAAACCGATGTTTAATAACTTATGCAAATCTACTCGGTGTTTAATAAAGCTCTGAAATAAAGACAAATGATACAAATATGGCATAATGATGATTCCTTTAATGGCAAGTTGTTTTAATGAAATTATACACAGCTATAGGCATCAAACATTGAATTTACTGTCATGTTTTATTACATTTTTTAAATATATACAGTATGTGCTTTTTATTTTGTGACACAGAGGCACAAACAACAGTCTCCTCTGTTGTGTTATTACTGCCATCTAGTGGAAAATAACGTTATAACATGCTTTACAGCATAAAAGATGGTATAATAATTAAAACATTTATAATTATAATCTTTAAAAACATATAACAACCCATTTTTTTTAATTTACCTGGAAATTTTAAGGGTTATCTGTGAGAAACCCCTTCAGGTAAGCTCTCAGGTTCAAAGGCTAAACAAAACTACATTTCCCATGAGCGCCTGGTTTCTCCAGTCACGTGATAGTCAACTATGGCTTCCTTCTCGTAGTCATAGAGGCTCACAGCTGACAACAAGACAAAACTGAAGCTGTCGCCGTTTTCTTACCCTTTTCACACAGGCTAACTTTACGATGCAGAAGATAAAGTCTCTTATGGCCCGTCAGGTGAGCAAACCAGGTCTGAAAATACAAAAATCCTGACCATTTGTCCCTGACAGCTGCAGGTAGCGGCTAGCTAGCGAAGCTAACTGGCTAAGTGACAGCTTTTCGTGTTGCTCTATAAAGGGCGCTGTTACAAAGAGAAGAATGCGTTATGCAAGCAATTTAGCAGGTACAACGTATTTGTTTGGCACAAATATAATTATTTTATTTGCAGCGACTCTGACACCGTTCTAGCTTGAGTCCATCAGCTGCTGGGGTCACAACAAAACTGGGCGGAAGTCCTCCCTGGCTTGTACCAGCCCTGCAGTAATGTTAGCTTCTCTACTTTATCGGGCACAACAAGATACTTTCATATCGTTCTCAYAAATCTGCCTGTCACTTCCACCTTTTTGCTGAATGCGGTAGTCTGCTGATGAGAATAGCTGCGTGAGACAAAACAGGAGGAGGGTTACACATGAATAAACAAATATTTTGGTTTAATTTTGGATTCTGGTTTTGGACAGGGCCTGAAAAGTCCCCAAGAGAGCATGTCAGACCTGAGTCCTGTGGAGAACCTGAGGATCCCAAGCAAGGTAAGCCTCCTGTGTTTGCCATGTTTGTTTACGAGGCTGATAAACTTAGAATACTGTTAATTTAGTAAAAACAGCTGATCTGGTTTTGTGTTTATACATATTTGGGGTCATTGTGAACAATCATTTGAACTGTGCTGTCAGCTGAAATACTAAACTGGGGTCTACAGTGTAATTCTTCGATACAGACAGTGTGAAAACATCTGTGCATGATTTGTTTGTGTGATATTCGTTAAGTAGTAATATGAGTTTTTAAAACTTGGTTCAATAAACAATAAGATCCACCAAATTCAGAAGTATAATTAGGTTTAACACAATATTTGCATAACAATTGATTAATATGACCACATTCTTGTGTATAATTTTAAATTTATACTTACAAATAAAAAAAATACTAAAACAACAATGTTACCTTAAATATACTGATACTGAGGTGCTTTTTATATCAATCATATGAGGTAAATGTTTTCAACACATTTCACTCCTTTTTCTCATTATCTGCTAATTTAGGCAGAAACATTGCACCTGTAGTTATTTAGTTTAATACAAGTATATAGTACTTTTCATATTTTTATTATTTTAAGTTTGTAATTTAAAGTTTTGTAATCTCTTCTGTGCTAAATATACTTCCTAATATTAATAAACACAATATTTTTCTCTGTTTAGTCCTGGCAGCTCTAGACTGAAGATGTTAAAAACACACAAGAATAAAAGCAGAATGACTTGACAGTTCTGTTGCTGTTTCATTTTGTTCTGCTTTCTGTCAGTATAAACCCATCAAACATATCCAGTTGTTTACAGAAGAGTGAAAAGACGCACATGTGTTAATTCAGCCTAAAAAGTTCAACGTCAGTGCTCACAGGATGATGTGATGTCTAATCTATAAAAGCATTTTAACATTTTTGCTAGTGGCCTTTAAATTTTATTTATTTTTTACTTCCAGTCAAGCCTTTGTCATTATGAACCTGTACAAATTTGGTGTCAAGCTCTGACAGAGCAAAACTGCACTGTGGCTTTACATATTGCTTCACTTAAAGCTACCCCAGTGCACTGCTAGCTCCTGGCTCTACTTTGGCTTTGCCTTTTAGTGGTAACCTTCAAAGTAACGTCTCGTTCTGGAAGCTGACCAACTCGCTCATTCTCAGTGCTGCATGAAATCAGGCTGGATGTTTAACGGATCTCCTCTAAACTCTCTGCTTTTATTTAGCGTAGTTTCGTATTTGAGTGGGATTTCCTGTGGAGGTGGAGAACTACTGCAGAAGGTAGAACTGGAAGCAGAGTGCCTTTTCAGTCAGTTCACTTGAGAGTTAAAARCAAGTCAAGCTGAGAGACTTTTAGCTACCTTTTTGCGCCGTACCAGCGTTTTCAGAAGACTTCAGCACAGTCCTTCAGCACCCAGCATTCACACTGGTATTTTTTTTTATCAATTTGATGTCACATTTTCAAAKAAATTGTTTTGATTTGCTGAAGACACAATCAGGAACTTTACAAAAGCAGACGAGGGGTTCTGAAGAGGCGTTTATTTTTCAAAGGATGTTTTTCTACCTTGGCCTTGGTGTCAGATGGCATGACAAAACTGTGTGTGCGGTAATCAAACACCACGTTTGGTTTAAGCCTGAAAAATTTCCTTGTTAAAATTGGATCAAAGTGATTAGATGTTATCTCACCTGCTCTGTTTATCTTTTGTTCTATTAAGGCAGAAAACAAAACCAACTCTTGTTTTTATCAAATTCAYATAATGACGTGTGGATTGCTGCTCTGATTCACCTGTGTGCTCATTGTTCTGTGTGCACTGCAAACACCCGTGTTGTCGTGTGTTAATCCGAAACAKGTTATTATTGGACGATTTTGTGCTTTAACTTCACCTACTTTGCTGCTTGACATCTCTGCTTACAAGAAAATCAAAAACTTCCTACACAGACTGGGATTTAACACACCCACAGTCCTTCCTGTTATTTATTTATTTTTTAGTTTTGCTGAACAATCCATTACTGTTGTCACAGCAGGGATGACYGTCTGACCTAACATGCTGCTGGGTGCAGGAGAGTGAGACCAATATGCTTGTCTTTGTGTATTATAATGACACTGATGCTCACTGAGTGGAAATCTTTCGCTGTTTCCCACAGTTTTAACCTTTGATTCAAATCATTTATCATCCTTTAGGAGCTGACAGCAACATGTGGCTAACTCTGAGGGCTAATGTAGGTCAGGATGCTGTTGAGTCACTGTGTAGACTCAGGTTGAGGTTTGGATACATTGAYCATTTGACGCAATGTATTTTTCATTTGAGCTCATTTTGTTTGTACGTTTTGAACCAAATGTGTTTTGTGTAAATTCATATTATACTCTCAGAAACCTTTTTATTCTTATTTATCAGTGTCACCTTAGTCATTTCCCAATGAGATGATCTCTGTCCAAAACAGCAGCGGGCGATTTGCATTCCTCCAAGGAAACCTTGGTCTTTAATGTCTTTATTCATCACTTGAAAGCAGCCAGACCACCTCTTAATCTTTTAAAGTGGTATTAAAGTGCTGCAGGTTTTCTTAAGGTTTATAGTCTTTCTTAAGACTTTTAACAAATTTTCTCTCGAATTCTATAACCGAACCCTTTCAGCAATTACATCAACAGTAGATTACCAGTATTTGAAAGTCATCTCTTTCAGAAAAAAAAAAAACCCCAAACAAACAAAAAACAAACAAACCTCAAATCTCACTCAAAACCTGAGAGGTGCAATGTCCTTCAGTTAATCATCTTTGAGAAGGACCTTGTTGGAACTAAGAAACTTTTTTATGTATGAAACTGTGTTATCTTTGGTGTTATTTAGATTGTCAGGTAAAAATAAAATGAAACAAATGATGTCCTTGTGCTGAGCTGCTGGTAACAAAGAGCTCAAAAATCCAGCTTAAAACCGATTCCTGTTCTGTTTGGACACAACTCTGCTTTTCCTGAATGAATGATTCACAGGTCAGAGATACAGTATGTGGGCTTATGAATAAACCCCGCCCCCCAAAACGTTCTGGACTGAAAATGAGTAAAAGGGCAGTAAAAGTTCAGAGAAAAACTCGGAAATACCTTTAGAAAGCCTGATGAAATATTGCTCAAGATGATTTTCGGGAACACAAGTCAGTCTGGCTTCTTGGAAATAAAATACAAACAAATCAGTGATGACCTCATGCCTTTACAAAGTATTGTATTTGTTTTCAACTGCCAGCAAATGAAGGATAAGAAAAGAAACATCATCAGGACCAACGCTGCATGTTCTGTTTCTGACTTCAAGGTTTTGTCCTCCATCTGAATTTGACACATTTGTTTCTGCTCCCGTGTTGCATTAATGGCCACTTGCTTTTTGCAGGTAAACTAAATAGTTTTATTTAAAGCTTTGAAAGAGGCTTTTATGAGCACTGCAGATGTCAGGCAGTCACAAGTATAGAGGCAGCATTGCTGTGCTATTGTGGAATGCCATTATGAAAAAATACAAAATGCATTTCGCTCGCTCAATGTGCTCTGTACCTAAAAAAAAAAAAAAACGACCCTCTGCCTGTAATCTTTTTTTTTGGTTCGTTCTTTCATTTAAATCCCTTCAAACAGCTACAAGCTATAATTACCTTTTTAAATCTCTCCTTCCTAATCTGCTTTCTGGGTTCACAGTAAGAGCAAACAACCTTTTTTATTTTATTGTATTTTTTGCATTTCCAGTGCTTTTTGTTTAAAGCATCTGTATCTTTGCAACTTGGCACATTTTCTGAGTTGCCATTTTTAAGTTGTCTTTGTGTTGACTCTCTTACCTCTTCAGCTCTGAGTCTTGCACATTTTCAATCAATGCACTTGTTTATGTTGGCATTAAAGTGGCTGAACACAGGCATCTGCTTGATTATTAGTTCTTAGCTCATTTGTCCTGCTGTAATCAGTAAATTATGACAAAATTTATGGCAAAAACACTGATCTGAATAATTCTTTTGGGCTGTTTTACTTCCTCTGATACAGTAAGAATAAGATAAATAGATCAGTGATGAAATTAAAGTCAGAAATTTAGAATAAGATCATCTTTGTTGAGAGAGGAGAGTTGTAGTTGTTTTGGTCAACACTTGAAAACAACATGCACCATCTTCTGCAATGTTATTGGTTGGCTGGTTGTTTTTAAATGATTATCAGTAACTCTTGATCCTAATCTTATTAAACACTACAAACGAATYTATGCAAATTGAAAACAGTCTAAACCGTAACAGGAAGTTAATGCAGAGAGAAGCTGGATGGCTACAAGAAACTCAAGTTGTTGCTGATTTAAAAAAAATACGTTGATCGGCATCAATGAGTCATTCTTGGGTTTTGCAAGAGTGAAATGTGTTTTGATGATGTCCTTGTTCTTTGTTTCACAAGCCCAGGACATTTTTGTTCCAGAACTATCAAAATGAATGAGTCATTCAATTCATTTTAGAAAATATTTGCAATTTTGAGCTACGTTCAAGAGATACTTATATCTCTGACTTTACAAACAGACAAAAAACAAAAACAAACAAAAAAATTGATGACTGCTGATTCAGTTTTTCCTGATGCAGAGATGGGTTCATTTCTTTCAATTTGTTGCTGAAGGTTTTTTCAATTTCATCTAAAATGAGATGCAGTATTTTTGTTCATTTATTTTTTGTTTTGAGGGAAGTTGATAATTGTGGGATTCCTAAAATTCTTAAAACTCATGTTTGAAATATTTGTGCTTGGTGATAATAAATGTATTTYAAGTGCAGTGACATGCTGTTACCTTTTCATCCAGCAGGGGTCACCCTTCCTACATCTATAACATGATTAACTTTGCATCACCTGAAAAAAAAAAAGATTTTCTAAAACTGCTGGACTAAAGACAGAAAGTGAACAGTGAGGAAGACATGCTTTTATTTTACACACATAGAAAGACTAAGTGCACAGCTCAGTTCAAGTATTGTAATTTTTATTATTACAATTATTTCAGAATTAATTATTCGTTTAAGACGTAGACTGGCCACTAATTC